ATCAGCACGGCAAAGGGCACTCCTTTAAAGGCAAGGACAGGCAAAAATATTTTAAGTCAAGTGATAACGATTGCTGTATGAGTCGTACGATTTTTGAATCAAGCACGGGCAACGCCGGGCCATGCTGTTAGTCATATATATATAGATAGATTTTATTACATTTCTAATCATCGCTTCTTAAAACAATAAACATTGCCAAGGAGTGAAGATCATTAAAAAAGCGATGTCATTAGAAAAACCTTTCTTTTGACACATTTTTTTTTTTTTTGCTCGCACGAAGGTCCATGTTTGCCATTTTAATTTTCTGAAAGAAAATTGATATACACAAAGTCACTGAAAGGGTTGACCTTGCGTGGGGCGAGATATAATCATGAACGATTCGTAAGCGGTGAGGAAAGCTACTTCTAACGGAAAATGAATCCACTGATAATGCTGTACTTCTGATCGCTGTGACGGCCTAAGATTTTATATTGAGTAATTGGCAGCGTTAGCATTAATATAAATGAAGCCGAAATAAATGACTGGTTAAAAAATATACTGAACCTTGAACAAATTGTTTGAAAATGTTATTTGTTTATACCAATGTTAAATTACTTTCGGAAAATTATTTTTTCTTCATTCTTTTTACGATAATTTAGATATTTAATTAACCAGGATTTTGAATAATCGGAACCTATTTTTTCAAACCCTTTCCTAAGGTGTCCGGATAATCGAGTAAGTAATGTAACAGCTTAGAAATATTTTTCAATACATCGGACTTGTCTTGTTTCAGCGGAAATATAAAGATAGGCTACATCCGTGATTTCAGGACCTGTTTTCCTCCACGTACTTTGGTCTCAATGTTACCAATGATTCTATAAGTTGACTTCTAAATGCCGTTCGGTTCCAGCTAACTTTTTACGAGATAATGCAACAATTTAAGTAATTTCTTGTATTCTTCACTCTGAGAGCTTTTTTCTTCATTCTTTTTCGATAAATGAGGTATTCAGTCATCCAGAATTTTGAACTCTCCGGACCTAACCCTCTCGCTGTATATCTGGATAATCGAAGAAGCACTTTATTGCAAGAGTTGTTGAGGATTTGAAACCACAACAAAGAAAAAGGCGAGAAAGATTTTTAAATATAAAAATATAAAATATTTTTATTTTCCTGTTTTTACAACTACATCTTTCTCAACGTGTACGAGTATTAAAGTTCTTGTATTATAGTTCCTTGTTTGTAGTTGTTTGCTAAGATGAAAAGAAATGTAATTTTTCAACGTGTATGTGTTAAAAAAGAGACAAGGGAGAAAGTGAGGAGGAAAGTGTAAATGCCACGTAGCTTGGTGAGGAATAGCGTAAATGCCATTTAGCTTAGTGAAGAAGAGTGTATGTGTAACGTAGCTTGTTGAGGAAGAGGGTAAATGCCACGTAGCTTGGTGAAGAAGAGTGTATGTGTAACGTAGCTTGTTGAGGAAGAGGGTAAATGCCACGTAGCTTGGTGAGGAAGTGTGTAAATGCCACGTAGCTTGGTGAGGAAGAGTTTAAATATCATGTAGCTTGGTGGGGAGAGTGTAAATGTCACGTAGCTAGTTGAGGAAGAGTGTAAATATCACGTAGCTTGGTGAGGAAGACGAGTGAATAAGAGAATCTCTGTGGTGCTGTGAATCTGTTGCAGTGTGCTGCCGCGTCTTCTCTTTCCTTGCATGTCTAGTCTAGAAGATTTGCTTAAATACCCTTGAAAGGGATCACAAGTCATGATTTGTTTTTATTGTCTCCGGAAACGCGACCCATTGGTTGAAAAATGTTAAATATTTATTTTCACAGTATTAATTTTTTAATCGGAAGGATGCGCCAATCCTCTAACACAGAAACCATTTTATGCCATTTCATGGTTGACTGTTTACGGCCTAATTACGGCCATATCACGTTGAATCACTGAAGCAATCATTAATTCAATTCAAGTGTTTTAATATAATTATAAGCACATACATTCGCTTTTTATTTTTTCTATTTTTTTCTCTTGTCACTTTGTGATTTTATTCAAACGGCGATAGTTACTTCTTTATGACGATAACCTAAAATCCTGTCTCTTAGATACATTTAAATTTACACGCCTTACAGAATTATAAAGATGTTTCCCCAAAGATAGCATCTAATTTAAAACCAATTGGTTTTCATTGAAAACTCCCAGTCGCTTGCACAGTTCCTGGTGCCTCTTCTTTCCTACTCAGTCATATATCATATTATTTTCAATTCTTGCAAAACACTCAGAAATTCTTCCATGAGCACCAAAAACAATCGGTACAACTGTCATCATCATATGTCACAACATTTTCAGTCTTTTTACAATGTTCAGATAACTTCTAAGTAGCGTGCTGAAGTGGAGTAGGTTCAGATGGTACGACGGCCCCGGGCATCCATATCGGGAGGACATCCAATCAAAGAGTGAAATAAAAATTTAGTTGATATTTAATTTGAATAAAATCTTTATTTCATGTTTCATCTGTTTTTACATCTTTAAAATGTCTTCCTTTCTCATATTTCTCAGTACTAGGCCCTATTGTCCACCCTACTTGAGTCTTAGGGGCATACAACCGGGGAGGTGTCCCCGGGCATCACCAAACCTCTGTACACCACTGTTATAATCTTCACAGCTAAGACCCGACATGACTCGTACATTGGGACGAATATTCCCTTCGCATTCCATTGGTAAGAATAAGATTTAATTAGGACAGCTTCGTCCCACCAACCGCTACATTGACGGACAGGTTCCCAAGTGAATGCTTTCCCAACCATTACAATCTTAAGCTCTTCAAGTTTAGAGTTAACCATTATCTCTCTCACTTATTCTCAAAAACTGCATACTTATGGGGAAATCACATTAAAACACTGATTCCCGTAAGATCAGCGAAGTTAAAAAATATCGATCCTGGTCAATAACTAGATAGACAAAATTTCGCACTATATTCTTAGAAAAGGCATGAATACATTTTCCCCTAACAATTGATTAAATATGTTGGCAGCCAGTTTATGATTTCAATCCTTTACAAATAATAGGGTAGATTCTGAATGGTCGCCTCCTTATACCGCTCCAGGAAGTACTTGATTCAATCTGCCATGCTTTATCTTTACAAGAGTCAGATCAGACCAAAAATGAAGCAGTGCTACCATATCTTCATTTTTCAGCCTAAAGTTCAAACTCGTTCACACGGCCTTGTAGGTGATGGATTATTACCACCCTAGAGCCACTTTACCCCCAGGCGAAACGCTTCTATCAATACTTTATCGCTGTTTTCATAGAAAATGTTCTTTACCTCATTTTACCATTCACCAATTTAATCTTAGAGAAAGTTTTTATTGTTTAGCGACATTCATTCTCCCTTTCTACTCATCAGTTACGACCTTGTGCCAAGTTAAGCTAAACTTTGTAAATTATTATTTTGCGTGTCCCACCGTAGATCACTTTCAGCGATTTAATCTCGTAGGAAATTACTTTTGTATAATGACTTTGATCATAATTGTTTGATTCGTTTTTACGGCTTATCAACCGTTAGCAGGTTCGATCATAATTGGGTACTCTACAGTTACGACCTTGTGCCAAGCTAATCTTTGTAAATTATTATTATGAGTGTCCCACCGTAGATCACTTTCAGCGATTTAATCTTGTAGGAAATTACTATTCTTCAGCGAATTTCATCATAATTTATTGTTTGATTCGTCTTCAAGACTTATCAACAGTTTGCAGGTTTTAAAGTAATTGTGTGCTCTACGGTCACGACCATTATCTTTCCCCCTTATTCTCATAAACTGCAGACTTAGGGTCAAATCACATTGAAACACCGATTCTCGTAAGATCAGCGACTTTAAGCAACGTCGAGCCTGGTCAGTATCGAGATAGATACAATTTCGCACTTTATTCTTGGAAAAGTCATGGGTCCATTTTCCCCTAACAAATGATTAAATATGGTGCCAGCCAGTTTAGGATTTTAATCCTTTTCAAATAATAAGTCAGACTGCGAATCGATGCCTCCTCATACCGCTCCAAGAAGTACGACTCTATGCTTTATCTTTACAAGAGTCAGATCAGACCAAAATAGAACATTGCTACCATATCTAGACTGGAGATTCCCTATCTTCTCTTTCCAACCTCGACAGAGTTCAAAATCATTTACACGGGCTTGTGGGTGATGAAATATTTTCCAACCTTCGATCCCTTACCCACAGATGATATCCCAGAAACATCCCTCTAATCTATCGTTATTTTCATGGAAATGTTTTCACGAGCTACATTCCTTAATTTCATCAGCTCTAACCTTCACAGTTAAGACCTATCATGCCAGGTAGACTAGTATGAAACATCTCTGTTCCCTTCGTATTCCGTTAGCAAGGAGAAATTACACTTAGGCAGCCTTCTTCTTATGAACTTCTAATTGATGGAACAGATTCCCGAGACGATATTTTCCAACCACTCTTCAACTCTTAAACTCTTCAAGTCTATGATTAACTGTTATTTTTCATACATATCTTCATAAACTGCACTTCTTAATTTTTACTCTTACCACTCATATAACAAGCTTCTTCAATAATCCTCTACATTGACTGGCTCTTGAGCATTGTATAGTGTGAATATCAGTAAAAGATTACTATTTTGTTGTGCACTATCCTGGCTTTGTTCTTATCAAATAGTTTTGCTTCGCTCTTAGTAAGTATTAAATTTCTCTTTACAAATGTCCTCTGCGCAACCGTGTCAGTATCAATCTGTAATTCCTTTTGTCTATCTTTTGAGATCTCAGTGTAGTTGTTTATTGTTATTCTTTACATGCCATGCATTAGTAAGTTCACGCAAGAACGGCTATCAGTCGAGTTAGAATGGTAATAAGTTTTCGTTAATCACTTTCAATTATTGTCAGCGGGACTCCGAGTTTGCCTAATATTATAGGCACGACCTTAAACGCTATGTTCCATATTTTGCCGTCACTTGACGAGGTCCTGACATTTTCTCAATTAAGTTCCTATCACCTCAGTGATGGTTTCATAAAACACGATAAAAGGAATAAAGAGAGAAGAGAGAGAGAGAGAGAGAGAGAGAGAAGAGAGAAAAGAAAGAAAGAAAGAAAGAAAAGAAGACACAATAGAAACAATAGATAAACAAACAAATTAAGAAATAATAATAATAATAATAATAAGAAGAAGAAGAAGAAGAAGAAGAAGAAGAGGAAGAAAAAGAAAAAGAAAAAGAAAAAGAAGAACATTGCTAACGTTTAAATGACTCCTTTGAATTCCGGTTGGTGGCGCTTTTCACATCCGACGTGGTTGTTTCCGTCCCGACAACAGTGGCCATGTTGGGTAAAATGGTTGACGATGATAAATGGCATATCCCGTGATGATTGGGCTTTTCGCTTCACAGACGTTATTCCTGCCGCCACACGTGTATGATACATGCAAGTTTCAGCACACACACACACACACACAAACACACACATGCATCAACGCATACACACTCAGAGTCTTTCTGCCTGCACGTGTGCTGCGTACGCGCACGTGTTCTGCGTACGCACACATGTGAGCGTGCATAAACTCATCCGTGCATTTCTTAGTAAGGTGGGTTATGAATACGTATTCTATGCATTGTGTGGTCGGACCTATTTTCTTTATATGTGCAGTCTTTCAATCTGCGCTTATGAGAGCGTACGTGTCAGTGTATTTTATTGGTAGCATTAATCACAGTTCCAGGGCGCATAGCCTTCCGCTTCTTGACCAGAAATCGCCCCTCAAATTAAGTGTCTCTACGCTTTATAAATTGATGTTGGTATGATGGTAGTGAGATAAAGGGGGAGCTTATGGAAAAGAGAATAAAGAGAAAGACAAAAAAAAAGGACAATGAAAGGAGACGGAAGGGGAAAAAAGGCGCGTAAGATACGAATCGAAGTAGAATTAGTGGAAAGGGAAAAAAAAAAAAAAAAAATAAATACGAAGAAGAGAACTGAAAGAAAAGGGAAAAAAAATGAAAGACTGCTTCCTTATTTACTAAATCTAGTTTGGTTTGGCACAAGGTCTGAACTGTAGAGCACCAAATTATGATAAAAGTAACGAAACAATAGTAATTTCCTAGAAGATTAAATCACTAAAAGTGATCTAAAGTGGGACACCCATAATAATAATTTACAAAGTTTAGCTTCGTTTGGCACAAGGTCGTAACTGTAGAGCCCCCAATTATGCCCAAACCTGCAAACGGTTGATAAACCGTAAAAAATCTAATCAATCAATAAATTATGATCAAATTCACTGTACAATACTAATTTCCTACAAGATAAAAATCGTTGAAAGTAATCTACAGTGGAGCACGCAAAATAATAATTTACAAAATTTAGCTTAGCTTGACACAAGGTCGTAATTGTAGAGCACCAAATTATGTTAAACCTGCAAACGGTTTAGAAAATGAATCAATCAATGAATTATGATCAAAGTCTCTATGCAATTTTAATTTTCTACAAGAATAAATAGGTGAAAGTGATCTACGGTGGACACCCAAAACAATAATTTACAAAGTTTAGCATAGCTTGGCACAAGGTCGTAATAATAGAGAACCCAGGAAGAATGAATGTTACTATGTAATAGAAACTTTCTGTAAGATTAAATCGCTGAATGATGAAACGAGGGAATGTAGCCCGTCAGAACATTTTTTTATGGAAATAACAATAAAGTATTGATAGAAGCGTCTGGAAGTAAAGGGGTTGTAGGTTGGAAATAATCCATCACCTACAAGGCCGTGTAAACGAGTTTGAGCTTTAGGCTGACAAATGAAGATATGGTAGCAATGCTTCATTTTTGGTTTGATCTGATTCTTGTAAAGCTAAAACATGGCAGATTGAGTCAAGTACTTCCTGGAGCGATATAAGGAGGCGACCATTCACAATCTACCCTATTATTTGTAAAGGATTGAGATCATAAACTGGCTGGCACCATATTTAATCATTTGTTAGGGGAAAATAGATCCATGTCATTTCCAAGAATATAGTGCGAAATTGTATCTATCTAGATACTGACCAGGCTCGACGTTGTTTAACGTCGCTGATCTTACGAGAATCGGTGTTTCAATGTGATTTGACCCTAAGTCTGCAGTTTATGAGAATAAGGGGGAAAGATAATGGTCGTGACCGTAGAGCACACAATTATTTTAAAACCTGAAAACTGTTGATAAGCCTTGAAAACGAATCAAACAATAAATTATGATGAAATTCGCTGAAGAATAGTAATTTCCTACAAGATTAAATCGCTGAAAGTGATCTACGGTTGGGCACCCATAATAATAATTTACAAAGATTAGCTTGGCACAAGGTCGTAACTGTAGAGTACCCAATTATGATCGAACACACACACACACACACACACACACACACACACACACACACACACACACACATATATATATATATATATATATATATATATATGAGCGCGCGTGCACACACACATTATGAAAGGAATCAATCATAAATCAACCTTGCCCTAATGTAATGTGCATATAGAAAAGAAAAAGCGTGAAATATAATCAACCAATAGCCGATAATCCTGACGAGTGGACGGAGTGATTGCTGGACAGCATGTCTACGAAACACTGGACTCAGGATGCTGAAGGGAATGCCAGTCAGCTAAGTGACAAACTTTACATTTGCATTAATGATAGATAGCTAGATAGATAGATAAAATGAAAGAAAAAATGAACAAACATATATATCTATATCTATATCTATATCTATATATATATATATATATATATATATATAGATAGATAGATAGATAGATTGATTGATTGATTGATAGGTTGATTAATAGATAGGGAAAGTTAAACAGTGATTTGGCTAAGAAAGGGACCCAATTAAAAAACATTGCAAGTATATACTTATCAGAAGCAAGAAAATTAATCTGCAGGTTTGTTTTCCAGCGACGGAGATGCTAAGGTATGGCTTTACCCCAGAAAGTCATTTCGCATTTTGCATTTTGTGAGAAGGATGTCAATTAATTTTAGTGTGATAATTTTTACAACTTAAGCCATTTCGTCAAACACATTTGTTACTCATTCCCTTTCCATCCTACATATTTGTTAAGAAAAAAAATCTTTTATTGCAAATCATAAAAACCAAAGTACCGTTTTTATTTATGACCTTTACCAATTTGGAAACCAATCACATCACTCTGTGTGTTCGGATCTACCAATCTCTGATCAAGACGATCCTTCTCTACGGCTGAGAGACGTGGCCATTGAGAGCTGGTGGCCTTCACAAATTCGAGGTTTTCGATCACTTCTGCCTGCACCGAATTTTCCGCGTTCCCTGACAGCACTTCATCTCGAACACCGTCGTCCGCAAAATTGGCTCTCGCCAACAAGCTCTGCTCACAAGGCGACTTCGGTGTTTTGACCACGCTCTTCGTCGACAACCGGGCTAATTCATCCGAGAAGCGATTTTTTTCGGACTGTCCCACAACACAAGTTTGGCGGTAGCGGCGTGGTGGATTATTAAAAATGTGGCTTCGGACGATTAAAGAAGACGTCGAACTGTTTATAGGTCCGTGAGTTTTCGGGATTCACTGTTGAGACTGTGACTAAATCAATTGCATCCGACCACAGAGTTTGGTCAGCTTCCGTTCAGGATGCGTAAAATTCGTTTGACGGAACCCGGTTGACTGATCTCGAGTAAATATTGCAACAAGCAAGCAAGCAAACTGTGTGTTTGAATTCAAATAAATGTATTAGCCTGAATCTCTTTTAATTGCAGTTCAGTTCCCATCTTAAACACTCTGGCGACAGGTCTGTTTCTCTGTATGACTGGTAACGCCTTAAAATCAATTCCACCCATTTATTTCCATTGTAGCTTCAACAGATACAGGGAGCACAATAACACCGTTGGATAGAGCAAGTTTAAAATGACAAAACAGTTTTCCCGCAGTCGCCCCTATTGGTTATGCATCTGCGCCAGCGACGAATAAGAACTTGTACGCCGCAATCGTAAAAGTCTGCATAAGGGTAGATTGCCCACTTTTCCTCAGCAGTAAGAACGGTGTCACTGCCAAAAGAATTTTCACAACGTTCTTTATCCCTCATCGGCATGAAAAGATAGAAGTCGGAAGGCGAGAGAATCTGTATACGGTGGGTACGCTGTTATATTTCAGCAAAAATTTGCAACGTTTATCCATGGTTGGGGGCCTGTCTTTATTGTCTTCAAAGTTAAAAAACTATGTTCCTCTCATTCGTCCTTGCATGGAATACTGCTGCCATATATAGTTTGGTGCACCCACTGTTCATTACGAAGTCCTCGACAAAATCCAGAGACGGATATGCAACGTGGCTGATCCTGATCCGGCATCCCGTCTGCAGTCGCTATCTCACAAACTTGCTGTGACATCCCTCTGTCTTTTCTACAAGTACTTTTATGGCAACAGCTGCGAGAAGCTACTTTCACTGGTTCCCAAAACTGTATGAATTTAAGCGTGCTACTAGGTTGGTACCTCGGTCCCATCCTTTCAATGTCGAAACGGTTAAATGTAGCCGACTCTTCTATTCCAACAGCTTCTTATCTCGCACCTCCTGTCAGTGGAACATCCTGCATATCACTTGCTTCCTTGATAGTATAATCTTCAAATATTCAAATGTAATGTCAATCGATATCTTCTGTTGCCTTGACCTTGATCCCTGTCCTTTTCTATATCCTTTCCCCAAACACCCTTCTTTCCTATTGCTCACTCTCTGTAACCACTTGCGTGCTAGTGGCAGTCTCGCTTTGCTTGGGGTGATTTGCTTAAAAAGAAGAACCTGGAAAGCGATTATTTATTGAGCAAAATATAAATAAACAAATAAATAAATATGGGGGTCATTTCATCTCTGAGTAGCATTTGTAATCCCTCATTATCCTAGTGTGTCTTTTAGTTTTCACAATCAAATGAGCCTGTCTCGGTGATTGGGTCCCGTTTAGGCATGATGGCTATGACCCTTCAAGATTTCGGTGTCACACCCCTCGTCCTGTGTTAAAAAAAAAACAAAAAAAAAACTTTGCAGATATTTAAATTGTTGTACTTGCTTGATTTAGGTATCTCCAATTTGTAATTTGATGCCTTCCAAAAGCTAAGCAAAGTATTTTTATGCGTTTTCTACGGCTTATAAATCCATTGCATTTTATATACAGCCAGAAAATAATTTTAGATTGTAAGAATTTTTTTTTTGAGATAATAATAGTTTAGTGAAAGAAGTCTATGGGTTAATTAGCAAATCAACCCATAGATGGTGGGAGAAGAGGTGGATTCATACATTTCCCAAGGTTATTTGCGTTTAAGTGAATATAACGAACCTAAGGAGAACTGAAATTCGGCCTCCTGATTAACAATTCCGAGCCATTATCCATTACACCACCCACACATCCAAGCTTGCATCACCTAGTATTTCCAAGCGGTCACCCATCTAGGTACTAACAAGACTCTACGTTACTTAACTTCGGTGATCGTACGAGAACCCGTGTCTTAACGTGTTGAAAAAAGTATTAAAAAAACACGAAAAGTATAAAGAAAACACGAAAATGTTTTCGTTTTTGTTTGACGGTTCACTATTTGCCTATATCTGGGCCCCTGACAGGTACTACCACCCTGGATCAAGGTGAACATGGGAACAACAACAATTAATAGGTGGTTCCACGCTCATCGAAATCTCCAATCTTCCGATCAGACGCCTTGCCGCAGGATGTAGTTTATCGTCATACCCAAGACTATCTAGTCTAGAAAAGAATCCTTACGATCTTATAGCCATAGGGCTGCTATAGTATCGTAAACATACCTCTGCAGCCTAGATCAACAACTACATTTACCGGCGTGAATGTCCGAGATATTTCATAGAAAATATGTTCTCCGACAGGAATCGAACCTGTATCCGTCACAGAACCGTCATATTTCCTGACTGAATGTCCGAGAAATTTCATAAAAAATAATAATAAATGTCAGACTTAGTCCATTTCATAATACATGATGTCATTTGTTTACGTTAAGATACGCTTCAAGCAAATATGAGCGTTCGCGAGAAATAATGGAAAATTTGTTGTTTAAAAACAGCAGTTTTGCTTTGCTAGTCAGATGCTTCTTCTGTAGCTAAATGGTATAGCACGTCGGGCTATATGACGGTTCCGTGTAGGATACAGGTTCGATTCCTATCGGAGGGCACATATTTCTCGGACATTCTGGCCAGTAAATGTAGCTAATACTGTTTATTATAAACAGCATTTACTTAAATATTTGTATTTATAAAAGTAACGTATAAAGAGAAAATATATTAGAATAATTGTCGGGCTTAGTTCATTTCATTATATATATATGGAAAGAGATAGGTAGATAGATGCTGCGATGGGTAAGTTGTTGCCATTTTATATTTTTAAATTCGCGCATGCGCCTTGTTTGTTTTTGATTTTGTCGACTGCACAGTATAGTAGGGTCAGTTGGGCACCGTCGATGAGAAAAAGAACACCATGACGCAATTCACTCCACCAGAAATGGCATGCTGTATTGCTTGGTTTTCGCGCCGGAAGCTCCAAATGCGAACATTTCAGTGTGTTTGGGTGTCAATCGGAGAACACTGCAGTGGATTTAGAAAGAGTTTGATGAGTCTGATGGTGATTACGAAGATATTTGGCGTGATCACTAGTGATGACGACGTTATGCCTCCATCTTCCCATAGGGACCCAGACTCAAAATGGAGGCCTACATCGTGCCTTCAAGAGATAGTGCTGTAGGAAGACTACATAAACTAGAGAACTCAGTCATGGCTGTCAGACAATTTCTGCGACAGCATCACTCCTTACATCTGGTCACCTAGAGTACAACCTCCTTGATTAATATGCATGTATGAGCGGGAGATTAACAAAAGTCTTTGTAACACCAAAGATGAACTGAAGGCAAGGATTATGGCAACACTCACCAACTTAAAACAAGGAGACCTTCCAGAAGAGTTGCAGGAGATTCCGCAGTCGTCTGGAGGCCGTGGTTGAAGCCAAATAGCGATTTTATTGAATACATTTACATTTTAGTATTTCAAGATATTTTTGTCTAATTTTGGTAAATGTATCTGTTAAAACGAGGTATCAGGTTAATTTTCATTTTTAGAGTAATTTAGACGACAATTTATCTATCGCACTCTGTATATATGTTCCAACGTACCACGAGCTACGATCTCATTCGCTCAAGAAGGATACAATTTGTACTCATAAAAAAGAAAGTAAATGATCCAAAACAACGACAATTTATCCATCGCACCCTGTGGCTAGATATGAAAAGGAATATAGAAAAAAAAAACGATAAAAGGAAAGGAAGAACAAAGGGAAACTAAAAAGAAAGAGAAAAAGAAAAAAGAAAGAAGAGAAAAACGAAATTAAAAGAGAAAAGAAGAAGAGGAATATATATATATATATATAAAAAGAATGTATAAAGAGAAGGAAGAAAAGAAGGAAAATGAAAATAAAAGATGGATTAAAAGAGGATATTAGGGAGAGAAAGGAGAAAATACGAACGGACTTTTCATTTCAGCGTCAGTTAAAGAAGAACCTTTAGCGAAATGATCCAAGCAGAAATATCAAATGCCACGTGCTTTCTCCACTTCTTGGTTCAGTCTGTGCCTCCTCTGTAGTCGGAAACGCTCTGCCCGCTTGGGCACCGATGTGATGCCTGCAATGCAGGCGCTGTGAAAGAGCTGAATCCGCTTTCTTTTTGTTGACGACACTATTGTTTGCCCCGTTTCCTTATTGTTGGAATTAAATCGTTAATGAGCCGCAAGAGGTCGCCAATAACTTCCTCTGCGGTCGATCAGAAAGTGATTCTTTATAAAGATTCCGTGGTTAAGGGAGAAACTAAAATGTTAGCCTCGTCTTGACTTTATGCAAATATTGTCGACAATTATTGCTAAATCGAATGACGGTATCAGCTGAGGTGGGGGACAGAAAAGAAAGCGAGAAAGAAAGGAAGGAAGAGAGTGAGTGATAGAGAGGATGGGGGAGTGATCGAGGTAAAGGAACCAGCAAGAGGAGAGAGAGAAAGAGTATAAAAAGCATGTTTATGACTGATTTTTAAATATTTTGTCTCGTTGATTAGCACGCGAAAGTGTTCCGGATATGCACCGGACGGAAATAAAATTAACTGGTTTGAAATAAAAGAAAAAAAGAGCAAGAAAATAATAATAATAATAATAATAATAATAATAATAATAATAATAATAATAAGCAAATAACGAAAAATAACGAAAGAAGCAGATATGAACCAACAGAAAACACATCAGTGGCTGAACAGTACCGTATTGAAAGATAAGACGGAAGGCCTTAATTATTGTAGCTCAGGACCAAAGAAGATCCCATCACCCTCACATAATCAAGGATAGAACTAATCCGAAATGCATGATCTGCTGGAAATATGATGAAACTGTCGACCATATTATCTCAGGATGTCAGGAACTAGCAAAAAATGAATATACCCATAGACATAACAAGGTAGCGACATATGTGCACTGGAAGATATTCAAGAAGCACAAAATCGAAACCACTGAGAGATGATATGAGCACTAACCAGACAAAGTTACCCAAAATAACGATGTAATTATCCTCTGGAACATGCCAATTCAAACTCATAAGAAAAGCCAACAGACCTGATATTATCATAAAAGACAAGACATTCAGGAAGTGTATGATAATTGACATAGCAGTACCACCCGAGAGAAAAAAAAACCTCATGAAAATTATCGAGAAATTGTCCAAATACAAGGACCTGGAGATCGAGATTAACAGGATGTGGGGAATGAAGACTGAGACTGTACCAATAGTAATCGGAGTACTGGTCTTCGTGAGAAAAGGAATGGACAATTTCACTAACAATGTCGCGGGTAACATCATTATACACGATCTCCCTATTAGGAACATCCTATATACTAAGAAAAGTGCTATCAATTAAATAACAATTCTCCTATAGGGCCTAAGGTCCATAGTTTGGACCTGGCTCTACAGGATACAAAGCAGGAAACATAACATACAATAATAATAATAATAATAATAATAATAATAATAACGATCATCAATATCTGTCTATAATTCTGAAATAATGTATTTACTCTATTTACGTTGTTCGGACTATTGTTCTCATCTTTATTGTCATATTCACGGTGTTTCGGCCGTTGTACGCTCTGACCTTCTTCGGGTGATAGACGTTGGAATTTCAAACCGAATCGTTTATTTCGTCCACCGAAGTAGATTGTTTTAGTTCCACGTGCCATGCTTTTTTTTAGGGTATCTCAGTATCAGTTAATTCCCTTTAATAACTCATCTCTTCAAGTCCTTGGGGAAACATGGTCCAGTAGATAAAAATACCTGGCCACAGCAGTGGAGAACAAAAACTTGGAGAGTTACGTTATTCCATCGTGTATAACCTGAAGAATACAGGGGCGTACAACGGCCGAAACGTCGTGAATATGACAATAAAGATGAAGGCAACGGTCTGACCAATGTAAATAATATAAATAATGGAATTCAGACCTCGAACACAAGTTGGGAATATGTAATCTCACCTTCTAAACAGATATCTTCTATAGTGATGAACTATTTTTTAACTCATATTATGGCTACTTTTTTGGTAACTTTCTGAAAAAAAAATGGATAATTTTTTAACTTGAATAAAGGCTATTTGTAATTCATCTGAAAAAACAGATTTTAAGTTTACTTGCTAAGCAAGCTACAAATGTTGCGAAATGAGAGTAGACAGATTATATTATACGAGTCTCCGATACTTCAACATGGTGCAATAGTTAACAAGCTTGTCACTTTCTAGATCAATTAGGACTTACTGTGTGCTCCATCCTTGTGCCACATGTAAGCAAACGCTATGTAAATCACTATGGGCACTTTAATGCGGTGTAATATTTAGCAAACTTGTCTTACTAGATCAGTTACGACTAAGGAGTAAGTCCGAACCCCACTGGCTGCTTTATAGTTGCGTCCTTGCGTCTCGTCTGAGCTACGCTTAGCAAATCCCTATTACAGCACTCTTTCAAATGGAGAAGTCTGTTTGCCTAAAAATCATAATTCAAAAAGTTTTGTCTCAACTCAAATACTGACGTCTGACTCTAATGAGAAATACATAATTATCACCTCTGCGAGATCACCTTTTCGACATTAATGTCTAACTCGCAATATTCATGAATTTGTAAAGGTTTTAGCATTTAAATTTTCTGATAAATCTTAATTCTTCACCTAATTGAATAAGATCCTTGTGAGTTCTACGATTACAGAATACGCCAGGAAAGTTCCCTTATTGTATTGTTAAATATTTGAGCGTCACAGCTTTAACAAAATATTGCAATAAAAATCGTAAATATGAATACAAGGGACATTTTGAGGCGGTGTGGTGCTTAGAAAGCTTACCTCGCTAGATCAGTTACAAATGAACAGTGAGTTCGATCTTTACTGGGTGCCCCATACTTTCAGCCTTGAAAATTACCATAAATATGCATACAGGTCATTATTTAAAGAAGTAGGTGGTACAAATAAAAAAAGATTAAAATCTGACAAGGTTTTCCATTTCACAGGGGCAGACCTTAAACATGTGGAAGTGTTATCGCCTCCTCTATCTTTCTTTCATATAATATTCTTCCGTTCTTAGAGCAGATTGGTTGGTTGGTTGAATTTGTTTAGTGGCATATGAACACCTCTATGGGTTATTTAATGCCGAAATCTAAATATCCCACAGGCAATCTTATGCTTTCAACTACAGATATTTTTTACATAATTTTATACTTATACTATACTTAGTAAAGGTATGTTTTATAGATATATAATTTGTAGATCATAAAATCTATTGTTGGTAATTTTACAATAAAAATGTATTTTTATATTTTTTTAGTGTTGCATTGATTGTCATTTTGTTATAAAATGTATTGTTGGTCATTTTATTATAAAAATGTACTGTTAATTTTGTTTGGGTGTTCAATATTTGTCCATAACTGGAGCCCTAACAGGTACTACCGCCCGGTGTCAGGATGGAATTGGGAACAACAGTGATTAAAAGGTGTTTCCACGTGTCTCAACACCTCCAATCTTCCGATCAGAGGTCATGGTGCCAGATGTGGTTTATCGTCATATTAAGAACGCTTTTGCGGCAGGGGACAGGAAATCTCACAAACAGGATGGCCCATTATCAATCTGTGTTAATGGCAAGGCGTAATGTCCGTGCAAGCTAAGTAAAAACAAGCGAAATTATAACATGATTATATTGTGGTTACCAGTTGGAAAGACGAGTAATAATTATCTCGCTGCAAGCAGTAAAAACTGTTTTTCTAACTTTATTTTAAAGCAAGGAGCAATTAGTTAAAATAATCATCCTAGATTTATTTGGATTGAAAGGAAAACGAGTGATTGGTTTTCTTACGGTTTATCAACCCTTTGTGGGTTATTTAAAGTCGAAACAGATTTTGGATTGTAAGAATAATTCATTTTTGGGGAGTGAATATTGCATGGACAATTTTTTTCTCTGAGACTAACGATGATATTTCAAGATACAAATCTTACTATTTAACTCATAGCTGGGGAACGGAGAGGACATGAATTCATCCCTTTCAAAGGGTATTTGCGCGTAAGTGAATGTAACGAACCAGAGTAGAATTTGAATTTGACCCTCTCCGATTTCTCATTTGGAGCCGATTTCTATTACACCATCCGCACAGTCTAGAACAGTTGGAGAATAATAATAATAAAAATAATAATAATAATAATAATAATAATAATAAAAAGAAGAAGAAGAAGAAGAAGAAGAAGAAGAAGAAGAAGAAGAAATAATAATAATAACAATAAGAAGAAGAAGAAATAATAATAATAACAATAAGAAGAAGAAGATGAAGGAGAAGAGAAAGAAATAATAATAATAATAATAATAATAATAATAATAATAATAATAATAATAAGAAGAAGAAGAAGAAGAAGATTCCGTTCGTGTCGATCTGGGGATAGATATCTATATCTATAATATCGAACCGTTCGTTAAAGTGAAGCGAAATTAAAAAAAAAAAAAAAAAAAAAAAAAAAACTAAAAAACAAAAACGTCAAGGTTTGGTTCTATATAAAATTTCCAATTTCAAAACTATTTGTGAAAAACTTCGCATGGATTTCAATAAACTTTTGTTTCTACTCTTCTCCTTGTAAGAAAAAAACACACAAATAAACAGAAATACAAGGCAAAGAAGAAATGGAATAAAATAAACTTTATAAAAGCAATAAATTCAAAATTATCGTCTGCTAAAATATTTGTCGAGATATTAATAGCGATTGTTAGTGTTAACAGACGCAGGGTCCCAAGTCATTATAGCAATTTGGAACACTTCGACTGTCAACTCAAAACGACAAATTATGCTTGGCAGCGAACATAAATAAAATAAATTATTTCTTTGCTTAGACGTAAATTTTGTACTGGCAGATACGAAAAACTGCCATCATATTTTTTTTAGTGAAATTCAAAGAAATTACCTAATAAATAATTTCCAAACACTTATACAAGCCTTTCTTACTGAAAAGTCTTCGAAATAAAAATTAATAAATGTTAACAGGAAATAAAAATTTTAAAAATTACGAAAAAGAGAAAAATACATCTTTCATTATGCCATCATTAATTATTGTGAGAGGTTTACATCGGATGCATTTTATAAGCCAAACAAAAGACAGTTTTGTTTGCAAAGAAATAACTAATTACATTCTCCTAATTTTTCTTGCCATATTAACGTCGTTTCGGCTGTTGTACGCATTGGCCTTCTTCAGATGATATACGTTAGAATTTCGAACTGAAGCCTTTATTTCGGAGCTAGATTGTTTTCGTTTCACGCCTTTTCTGGATATCCCTAGTAACTCAAGTTTTTTCCTCACCTCTGCTGTGGTCAGGTATTGAACTTACAACTTTTTAGGTCAATGCTTATGACCAAAGCTTTTATCCACTGGGTCATGTGTTTCCAGTAGATAAAATGCGTTGGTTGAAGTAATCCAGTGACTTGAACTTTTACAATAAAGACGAGGACAATAGATACAATATCTCATCTCAGAAATATAGACAGATAAAAAAAATAGCTATTTGCTAATGTCTACATCATTATTAATGTTATCTTAACAGGAACCATGATCGTTCAGATGGTGTACTTTTTTTTCTTTTACTGATAGTTCACCCAATACAAGGCCCACTCAAAGTAGAGGGTTACTGATTGAAATTGGAAGGAAGAGGAAATGGGGAGGTAAAAGATTACCGAGATTACTGAGTGGAACTTGCTTTTTGTCAGAGAAACACGAAAGGAATGGGGTTGGTTTACGACCGTGAACACAACATGGCGGACCCTAGCTGTGAAGGTCCGAACTGATGGAACTAAGGAATGTAACTCGTCCGAACATCGGCTATAGCAACAGCGAAAGAGTAGTGAAAGTTTCTGCTGTGTGATACGGGTTGCAGAAAGTAGAATTATTCATCATACACAAGGCTACGTAAGCGCTTCTGAACTCTGTCTTAGGATGGACACTGAAGATTGGGTAGCATCAGCCCAGATATGGCAGCAATACTCATTCTTGATTTGACCTGACATATAAATATAGTAGAAGCAGTTAGCTATTTTCTGGAACGCTTCAATTAACCGGCAATGCTTATGGCCACATCACGTTGAAAACACTGGTTACCGTACGATCACCGAAGTTAAGCAACATCGAGACTGGTCAGTACCTAGATGGGTGACCGCTTCAAAATACCAAGTCCCGTAAGTTTGGATGTGCGGGTGGTGTAATATAAAATGGCTCGGATAATTGTTAATCGGAGAGCCGAGTTCCAATTACCGTTGCTTTCGTTATATTCACTTACGTGCAAAATACCCTTGGGAAAGTTATGAATCCCAGCTTAAAAGAAATACAACAAATTGTCTTGATAAGTACAGCCCACGCTCTAAGAACTTCGTCCATGTAACGCTAGTGATGTTATGGAAGTTAGAATAAACAAATCATGAAATGTAGTCACAACAAAACACGACTACCGGCTTTAGGTATTCCCACAGACTGCATTGGTACTTTGACCATAGCAGAAATCGAAATGTAATAATAATAATAATGTTAATAAATAATAGTACCCGTAAAAAATTACGGTTTTTCTATTTTAATTTACTGATGAATCCTAATTCTTAAGTTAATGATTAAATAATCTCCTTGTGGGTTGTACGGTTATAAAATACTTCTGGAAACTCTCCTATTGCCGCGTTAATTATTTGAGCTTGACAAGTTTAATAAAATATTACAATAACAATCCTAAATATGAATACAGGAAATTATTTAAATAAGCAAGAGGTTGCAAATAATAAAGTTTAAAAATTGACAAGGTTTTTCCTTTTCACTGAAGCAGACATTAAAAGCATGTATGCATTATTGACTCCATTAAGTTCTCCTTCTTTCTTTCTATCTTTCTTTCTTTTCCCTAAAACAAAACAACGTCTCTGATATTATTTTTTTTTGTCTTTCTTCGCTATCAAAGTAGAAACGTCCATTGTTTATCTGCTGTAATGGCAGGGCGTAACGGGCGTGCTAGCACAGTAAGGAATGAAGGACCAAGCGGAATTATAATATGAAAATAAGGCATACATATTACAAAAATCTCAGGAAATTCATCTTATCTTAAATACAAAAGAATGTGTTATTTAATAATGATCATATTAAAAAAAAAAAAAAAAAACTCTTTCAATAACTTCCGAATAAAACTCTAATCTACCTTAGGTCTCATTTTATCAGACAACCAAACAAAAAGAAGCGGGATGAATAACAACAACAAAATCAATAATAATATTAATATTATTATTAATAATAATAATAATAATAATAATATTAATAATAATAATAATAATAATAATAATAATAACGTTTTTTGAAGATTTTCAAAACACTATCAAAATACAAGCAGCTTGAAGTGGAAAACTAAAAAATGTGGAACACAAGGACATCAATTTCCAGTTGTAGTTGGAGCCCTAGGTTTGCTTGGAAAAAGTTCCGATAGATTCAATGAAGGGATTCCTGTTAGTACACATTTTAAAGAAATACAAACAATTGTACTAACAAGTACAGCCCACACACTGCGAAGAGCTTTATCTATGTAAAATGTGTGTGATTTTTGTTATTTTTCAAAAAATGATCAGAAGAAAATGTCATGAAGCCATTTGTGACCTTAGCCGTCTTTGTTCAGACCCGGAAGGAAATGTGTATACAATAGAAACCCATGGAAATAGCACCACTACTACTACTACTACTAATAATAATGATAATAATAACAATAATGAATGAGAAGGTGATCGAAAATGGCCACGAAATGATCTTGTCAGATTTCTACATCCAGACAAAGCGCGTACTTCAGGGGACCAAACGAGATATCACCGTTGTCAACAAAGAAAAAAGATCGATTTATTGATTTGTTTTTTACGGTTTATCAATCCTAAAGCAAGAAAATATTTTTAGATAGTAAGATTTCTTTTTTAGATAATAATAATTTACTGATAAGACCCATTCTAATTAATCCATAGCTGAGGGAGAAGAGGTGGATTCATATTGTTATGGTAATTTACCCACGCACGCATGGACTCTCCCAGCTATAAATAGGAGCAGGTACTGCCTTTTGGAGAGGGAAGTTTCCAGCAGTCATCTCTGATAGTCGGACCGAACATTCTTGCTGTAAATCTCTCGTTTGTATATGTTTGTATTTATTTCCGGAAATATATTTGTTTAACTCACTTCCTCTCTTGTGTCTTTATTTCTGGCTCTAACAAGGCCACAACACATCCCTTTCCCAATGGTATTTTCTTGTAAGAGAATATAATGAACCTGACTGGAATTGGAACACGGCTCTCCAATTTCCAATTCTGTTACGTCATCGATTACACCACTCGCATATCAAAGCTTACATCACCTGGTATTTCGAAGCGACTACAGATCTAGATATTGGTCTGGTTCGACGTTAACTTCGGCGATCGTACGAGTACCGTTGTTTCAACGTGATATGGCCGTAAGCCGTCAAAGAACAAGAAAATGTCTCCTCACTGATGTGTGGCTGTAGTAAGAAGGTCAAAGTAAGCTCAAGAATTACACAGACCGAAGGTAACAGAATGTTGGACACGCAGCTCACTCTTGTCCCTGTTATCATTGGGGTGTTGAGATCTGTACCACCGGACTTAAAGTCTTACATTGTGAAAATCAGAATGAAGCGTTATATTCTATGGCTTCAGAAGTCTGCGTTGCTTGACACAGCAAATATTCAAATGAGTACGATTTGATGGAGAGTGCCCATAATGAATGAATGAACTGTTGAAAAAGACAGCCATGCTAAAAAAAATAATACTACTATTGCTACTACTACTACTGCTAATGATAATAATCCTCTTCGTTGCGAAACGACGTGAACCAAGTTGATTCTACTTCGAAAATACACGACAACTATGAACATATTAGGCAAAAATACCGGCCTTTTAAAGATATGTTTCCCAACCCGTCTATAGTTTCTTTCAAAAGAAATAAAAACATCATTTTAAGCGCCCACACTCAAAACAATATTGGAGTTTTGGATCGTTGTACTCTCGAAAACACTCATAGAAGAAGAAAAACCCTGTGTGCTGTGCAACAACATGAGTCAAGTTAATTCTATCACAAATTCAAAGAGAAACATCACGATTTCAACAGAGGGTGACAACTGTACTGATTCCCAATTTAATATACGCCGCCCACAGATATCAAACATGACATGATATCTGTGGGTTTACAGAATGGAACAATTAAATAAACGATTCAATGGACACAGGTATGTTGTCAGACACAATAATGGGACATGAAAAGAGCTTGCATAACATTTTATTACTAACGATTGTAATTTCGCCAAGAATCTTTAGGTGCACATTCTGAAAAAAAATATTCAGAATCTACCAACCTTTCGATCCTTAAAATGCATGAGTACAAAGAATTATAATTTTTTCTGTACGGGAAGGAAATCTGCAACTTCTACGGGAAGGAAACTGAAAGAAACTGGTATGAACACCACCCAGACCCGGTTACGGAGATAGGACCTGTTACAATTCTATGGGACTACACAATACACACTGACAGAACAATCAAGGCCAACCGCCCAGATATTGTTATTAAAGACCACAAACAAAAACGATGCCTCCTTATTGATATGGCAGTCCCTGCTGACTGCAATGTATCTTTGAAGATATTCAAAAAGTTGTCAAAGTACAAGGACCTTGAAATAGAAATCTCGAAAATGTGGCATATGGGAACATCAGCAATCCCTGTTGTAGTTGGAGCCCTAGGACTGGTTGGAAAAGATTGCAGTAGACTAATTGAAGGGATTCCTGGAAGTCCATGCCTCAAAGAGATACAAAAAATTGTTCTGACAAGTACAGCCCACACCTTACGAAGGGCTTTATCTATGTAATTTAATTTTTTTTTTTTTGTCAGTGGAAAGTGTCATGACGCCATTTCTAACCTTAGGTCCCTGGGCGGGACCCGGAAAGAAATGTTTAAATGCCAGAAATCAAAGAAAATAATAATAATAATAATAATAATAATAATAATAATAATGATGATGGTTCGCATGTCTTCTGGACTTAACTTATGGAAGGTATTAAGATATACATATTTTGTGATGATAAATTAAGAAGGGATCGAGTAAATATCTCATTCCGTACTAAAGATTTCTGCGTCAGTTGGCTAACCATAACACGTCAGACCATTAGGGTCTAATGCAATAGGTATTTCCGTTCATACCCGGAAATAGTGGAGGAACATTCAGAGTGTGTTCATATAAATTTGAAGGCTAATGCACCCAAGGCGACTTTGGAGTAACATGTAAATACTTTGGAACAACCTTAATCGGAGACCGTCTGGAATTGGTAAGGATTAGGTATCTCCAACTTAGATGTGACAGAAATATTCCATTTTTGGTCTGATCTTGTTATTGGAAAGAAAGAGAATGGCAAATAGAGTCATGTGCCTTCAGGAGCAGTACATGGAACCGCCCATTTTTTTTCCTAAAAAAAGCCTTTATTTACCTTTAGTTTCAACTGAAAGACTTGGTAAATGATTTTAACAAACAACACATGAAAAAGAAGAGGGATAAATAATAATAATAATAATAATAATAATAATAATAATAATACATGGACCTGGAGGTCGAGACTAACAGTATGTGGGGAATGAAGACTGAAACTGTACCAATAGCAATCGGAGCTTTGGGGCTCGTGAGAAAAGGAATGGACAATTTTACTAATAGTGTCCCAGGTGACGTCAACAGATAAGTTGCTCAAAAGATCGCCCTAATAGGAACATCCCATATACTAAGAAAAATACTATCAATTAAATGACAATTCTCCTATAGGGCCTAATGACAATAGCTTGGACCCGGCTCTACAGGATACAAAGCAGGAAACATAACATACAAAAATAATATAATAATACTAGTAATAATCATAGTACTGCTACTACTACTACTACTACTACTAATAATAATAATAATTAAAGACATAATAATAATAATTATAATAATAATAATAAAAATAATAATGATGAAAATAAAAATAATATGATATCAAAGAAAATGCATACCGTAACTCTTCCAATATTTTTCAATGGTCAAGAGAAGAGCGTGATTTAAGAAACAATAAAAAAAGAGAAGAAAAAAATCTCAGTGTTTGACAATGTTAAAAAATATTTCAACGGAATGTCTGTTTTCTTCAAATT